CTTTATTTTGCTGGGGTTTTCTGCTTTTTATTTCAAGCACATTCATTTTTCTCCTTAATGTTTTTATTTATTTTTTGTGTGTGTGTGTGTGTGTGTGTGTGTGTGTGTGTGTGTGTTTAATGATAGTGTCTTTAAAATTCTTGCCAGGTAATCCCAACATGTGTCATCTTAAATAGAAGTGGTGAAAACAGGCAACTTTGTCTTCTTCCTGGTCTTAGAGGAAAACCTTTGTCTTTCACCATATAGTATTAGCTTTGGTTTTTTTTAAATATACACTTTATCCTTTAATATGTTGTGGTAGTTTCCTTCTATTTCCTTCAATTTTGTTATTTAACAAAATTTTCTGTATCAATTGAGATAATCATATTATCTTTTCCTTTCATTCTGTTAATGTGCATTGCATGGATTATTAAAGGTTGAACTATTCTTGCATTCCAAGGATATAATCCTTTTATTAGTGTGTGGTTGAATTATATTTGGCAATACTTTGTTGAGAATTTTTTTTGCATCTATATTCATCAGGGAAATTGGTCTCTAGTTTTCTTTTTCTTTTTTTTAAAATATATTTTATTGATTTTTTTACAGAGCAGAAGAGAGAGGGATAGAGAGTTAGAAACATCGATGAGAGAGAATCATCGATCAGCTGCCTCTTGCACAACCCCTACTGGGGATGTGCCCGCAACCAAGGTACATGCCCTGACCGGAATCGAACCTGGGACCTTTCAGTCTGCAGGCCAATGCTCTATCCACTGAGCCAAACCGGTTTCAGCTAGTTTTCTTTTCTTGTAGTGTCCCTATATGGGTTCAGTGCAATTCAGGCCTCATAAGAATGAATTAGGAAGTTTTTTTCTCTTCAGCTAATTTAGAAAAGTTTGAGAAGGATTGATGTTAATTTTTCACCGATTAAGTCATCCTGACCTGGCTAAGGCAATGATTTTTTAAATTCTATTATTTTTTCTACATTTACTAAGCATTTTTCTGTGAAGGCTTTTCCTCCACCAATTAGGTGTCAACTATAGTCCTTCCCAAATGGGTTTGTATAATGGTAACCTCTAATATGTGAAGGTTGTTTTGTTGTTTTTTTCATTAAAAAAAAAAAAACCAACAGTATTTACTTTCTGTTTTTTCACAATTAAATGCTGTTTCTTTTGTTCAAACTGTCCTAAATTTGGCCAGTGGGAACCCTTTCAAGCTGATTCAGGTCCTATTGAGATATTCCTATTAGTCTTAAATTACTTTCTTACTTCCTGACCATAAAAGATATTTCTCACACCATTGTTTCCCCATCCCCAGCCCTAGGTTCAGCCTTTTCTCCAAAGAGCACATGAGATCAAGGATGGATATGTGATGTGTCCCTGACCCACACTGACCAAGATGCGGCTCCCAGCCAGCTATCCAAAGATGTGCCATCTCTCTTTGTCCCAAGACACCACAGGTATGCCCACTCAGCCCCAACTACATCTGAGTGTCAAGGCCTTGGTTAGACTGGCCACTGGGTGGAGTGGGGAGACCAAAAAGCCACCCTGTGGGGTGATCGGAGGAGGTTTCCAGTCCTTATCCCACCACCATGCCACCATGCTTCATTGTCCCACCAGACTTCACTTAAAAGCACAAATTCAAATATAAAATTAAGAATTTCAAGATAGCAGACAAAACATTAAAACCTTAGCACAGGAACCTTCTGAGCACAGGACCCTATGCAACCACAGAGGCTCTGTGTATTTCCCTCTATTCTTCTGTTTCTTACTCAAATTTTTATAATTTCTTTTCATATAAATCCCAAAAGCTCTTGTTACTTCTAGGTGATGTATATGTATATCTATTATGAATAAATTTTCCCATTATATTTGCTAAGTGACTAGTAAGGAGATAAGAAAAGTCATTTTATACAGTTACTTTCAGTGGCTATTTTAACATTTCATATCTCTTAACTTTGTGAAATTTAATAATAGTTTCAATATCAATTAATTTTCTTAGGTTTTCTACATAGAAAAATCACCTACAAAAAATAGCTATCACTTAAGCACTTAGCATTGCTATGTAGTGTTCTGAGTCATTTAATCCTACAACAATCCCTTGAAGCTTATACTGTTATTATCCTACTTCACAGATGAAGTGCATGAAACACGAGAGACTTGCCCAAGGTCAAAGAGCTGCAAGGTAAGTGGCAGAGTCAAAATTCAAAACCAAATTCAAGCCTTCTAGCTCAAGTTCATGTCCTCAATCACCAGGTTATAACAGCTCTATATTAGACTAACTTCTTTCCCCTTTACCTTTATTTCTGCTTGAAGACTGAGTATCTTGGATGAAACTTTCAGAACAGCATTAAATGTAGTGATAACAAACATCCTTCTCTTGCTATTTTTTCCCACCAGTGGATGTCTCTTAATTTTTCAAAGTATGATAATGATGTCTGTGAAAGGAAAACCTTTTTAATGTGAAAAACATTAATAGTGTATATTTTCCTAAGATGAAGAACCCAAAATCAGTTTGGAAAAGGAATGGATCATGAAATTTTATTGATAGGACTTCTGTTCCCAAGGTTTATTCCAATCACATTTGTAGTACATGAAATATCAATACTTTCTGGTCGAGAAAACAGAAACTCTGGCCATAGTATTGATGCTTAAGATAAATATAAGCCTCTACCTAAGGCAAGAGTCCATACCTGAAGAATTAAACCAATAAGATATATACAAAAAAGTCAATTCAGCACATTGCTGTAAGATACGAAAGAAATCAAAAGACTCCTTTAGTGGGAGGCTGATATACACATTTCATTTAACAGACAAAATGTACAATGACTTAAAGAACTATATATTCCCAGGAGAATTAAGAGTGTGCATATCTGGGTTAGCACCTAGAAAGTACATATAAAATAAAACAGGAAAACGGAAAAAGCTTTGTGTGAAAATCGTTTGGACCCATGTTTCCAAGAGCAAATTCTCATTCATATTTGACAGTAACTCATTCCATTCCATAGGAACTTGGTGATCAGCTGACTCATGTCTTCAGTGCTTTATGACAATAAACTTGTCAACTTGACGGATTTTATTTGTAAATTTAAGGATAAAATGTTTTATATGCACCCTAGTTTTATCCCAAAATTTGTAATTGACTACAAATTTGTGGTACATTATAACGAAGGAAATTTTCTTTACTGCTTGTGTAATGTGACGTTGTTCAAGAATGGGGGCCTGGGAATTACTCAAAATTTCACAGGTGCACTGATAATTTGCAGAAATGATTGCTGGGAAGGAGTATCATAAGCGGCATATTTAAGTTATGAATGGCTCCATTAGAGTTAGAAAAAGTTTTGCACAAATGGTGACTGCAAAGCCTCCCTGGGAGAGAGGTCAGTTAACAGTATGGTGTGCACTTTATGCAGTATTCTTTGGTTACAGCATATGAACCACCGGGAGAACTACCTTGCTTACAATACAGACAAGTGGTTCTTAATTGGGGGCAATTTTGCTCCTCACCCCCAGTAACATCTGGCAATGTCTAGGATGATTTTTCACAACTTTGGAGGGGGCGGAGGGGGACGCATATAGAGTCGATGCTCTAACTTCCCGATAGGAAAACAATCCCCACAAAATGTACCTTGAAAAATGTTCTGACACTTAGAAGCAATTAAGTTATAGTCTATATCTCAATCAGTGGACTGATTTGGAGGTGGAGGGGAGGGGGGTGTTACTAGCATCTAGTGGGTATAGAGGCTAGGGATGTTGCAGCTTCATAACCAAACTCCTCAGGCCCCAAATGCCAATAGTGCTAAAGTTGAGAACCCCAAAAAAGTTTTATATGACATGTGTCTGGGTTGTCCACAAAGTCAAAAGTACACTATGAAGGCAAAAGGTACCTCCGGCACTTTATAGCTCTAAGAGCTCCCTGTCAGCTCTCATCAGTAGAGTCCTGGTCCCTGCAGTCCTTTAACCCAGAGCAAGGTCTCCTTTACATCAAAGAACTCAATAAATATTTGATGAATGGAGAGAGGAAAGAGATGTGAGAAGCATGGTTCAAAGCCTTCAACTGAGTATACTGAACAGTGAATTTATAAACTTAAAATTATCCTGAACCTCAATGCTGTCATAGTCTCTGACTATACAGGATCTTAAAATCAGGGTTGCCATGCCCTATCTGGTTTGGCTCAGTGGACAGAGCATCGCCTGCAGACTCAATGGTCCCAGGTTCAATTCCAGTCAAGAGCATTTACCTTGGTTGTGGGCACATCCTTAGTAGGGGGTGAGCAGGAGGCAGCTGATCAATGTTTCTCTTTCATTGATGTTTCTAACTCTCCCTCTCCATTCCTCTCTATAAAAAAATCAATAAAATTGTATTTTAAAAAAATCAGGGTTACCATAGTGTCAAAAATGGAGTCAACATTTTAAGAGAAGTATGTCTAAAAACTTTTACATTCACTTCAGTGGTGCAAACCAAGTAAAATGGTATTAAAGGCAAACATTCAATACAATATTTTAAACCCAAAAAATGAACATATGAAATGCCATGCACAACACACACCATTCCTTTTTGTACATATTTACAATTTTATATACTTACTTATCAATATATCTTCTATCTTTACAATTATAAAATTATTTTAAATTATAGAATAGTGGTACCATTGAATTCCCTTAAACATACATTTTGTAGCATTCATGTTTTATCCTTTAAGAGGCAATTATTTACCCAAATCTAAACCACAGTGAATACCACGTGGAAGCACATAGGAAAATCGTGGAGAAAAATAGATTTAGACAAAAATTTCACACAAGCCTTAAATGAATCTATTTCAGTAACTCAAATAAATAGTACTTTATTATTTACTAAACTTCCTCTGACAGGAAAATAAAACAAAAACAATCCCCACAAACTGTACCTTGAAAAATGTTCTGACACTTAGAAGCAATTAAGTTATAGTCTATATCTCAATCAGTGGACTGTAGTAAGGACTAGCTACAATTTAGGCTCAAATAAATACTATCTGTACATTTTTATCATCCTGCATAAACTTGAGGTTGCAATGGTGGAGGAAGTTTATCATTTTCAACATTTTCAGAGTCAATAGCTGCTAAAGACTGATTTGGGGGCTTAATTTCAAGTGGACATTTCTCAACAATGTCTTGAACCTTTTTTGCAATTCCATCTGTCCAATCTATTAGGTCTTTTTCAAGTTTCTTGGCTTCATTCATAATTCTTTCCTGCCGTTCATTCAATTGAGACAGGAGATCCAAGTTCTTATACATTTGCTTAACACCTAAACAAGCGTCAGGAGACCAATTCTCAGATTCTTGCTTTCTGGGAGAAGTCTGGCCAGACATGTATCGATCAAAGTCTTCCTGACTTAAATTCAAAGACTGAGCGTCTAACTTCTCAATGAAAGTCACAGCACAGCACTACGAAAAGAAGAGACTGTTATTATTATCATATAAGCAAAGCCACAGATATTAGATTTTTAAAAATCTTTTCATTATGGAGAATTTAAAACTGAAGCAAAAGTAGACAAAACAGTCTAATGAACCTCCATGGACTTCAGCTTCAAAAATTATCAATACATAGCCGATCATGTTTCCTTTATGCTCTCATCTAAAACAATACATTTCTTCTTTAAAAAAGCAAGAAACAATTAAATTGAATTGCCAACTCCCATTGAGCCTGTCAGAAATTCAGTTCTCTTCTTAGGTCATTCAAAGAGGCTAAAGTCCTGAAGAGAGTGAAGTACTAAGGAGGCAACCGCAATGTTGGTTCCACTGTGGCTGCTACAGAGCTTCCTACAGACAAAAACCAAATGATTCCTTGGAGTTGGGGGCTTTCTGTAGGTGCAGGGCAGAGGAATTCTTGTTGAGGACGGGAGCTCCAGGGCCAAGTGCCTGGGGGTACACTCCATAAAATCATTTCGTTTTAGGGTCTTGCCAGCCCCACAAGGACTACTTGGACATGGCCAGACATTGGGAGTGTCCTCAGGGACCCCTGTGGCACACAGATTACCAGTTCCCAAAGAGGTATTTTAAATCACATGGTTAAAAGGAGACGTTTTTTGTTTTGTTTTTTGGCTAATCCTCACCAGAGGATATTTTTCTATTGATTTTTAGAGAGAATGGGAGGGGGAGAGACAGAGAAAGAAACATTGACCGGTTGCCTCCCGCACACTTGCGGGAAAGGGGAGTCCTGGGAGGATCAAACCCACAACTTAGGTACACACCCTTGACCAGAATCGAACCCAAGGCCCTTCAATCTGCGGGCTGATGTTCTATCCACTGAGCCAAACTGGCCAGGGCAAAAGTGTAAGTTTTAAAACCAGACAACCTGAGCTGTTACCTCTGTCACTTGACAGTCAAGGGTTGTGTGATCCTAGGAAAATTAGCTAGGCTCTGTGAGGTTTGCACATGAGTAAAACGGGGAAAATACCACATTTACTGTGAGAATTAAACACCATAACACATGTAATGTGCTTAGCTCATAGATCTGTAGTAAGCAATGAATAAATGGCAATAATTATTAGCATAGAAATGCTAGGATAAATACTCAGTAAAACAGACTTCTGTCAGTTACACATTCTTATATTGATTAAATTTTCCTACAATGAGCATGCACCATTTTTGCATTTTAAAAAAAGCTATTTTTATAAAAATCCTCACCCAAATCTGTAAAAAAAAAAATCCTCAGCCAATGATATATTTTTACTGATTTTTAGAAAGAGAGGAAGGGGGAGAGAGAGAGAGAGAGATATCGGTTGGTTGCCTTTCTGAAGCATCCATCTTATATAAAAACTGTGGCTTGAAATTTTAACCCTGCTATTTGGCTTCTGTAAATGCTTGCTTGCTTAAATAATAAGGAAAATAAGACTACACCCATTCCAGAGAGGCCATTAAACCTTCTCCGGACGAAATTATCAGTGCTGGCACCAGGCCAGGCCTTTTGGTTGAGGTCTCAAGGCCCCAGCACATAGGGGCTCTTTAAGAACTTGCAAAGGGGGCCAGAAACACCCCATATTTGGGAGAAAAAAAAGGTAAAAACATATAAATAGGAAAAATTCCTCCATGTTGGGGCCCAGAATTTGAGAGACATTTTCCTCTGGACCCAGGCGTAATAAATGTAACTCCATCTTTCTAAGTATTGCTTGGTTCTTCACCAGTTTTCTGTAACATTTTGTATACCTCTCAAGCAGGAATTGAACCCAATATAACTTTTGACACCCCCAAAAGTTAACTATTAATAGCCTACTGTTGACAGGATGCCTTACTCATAACATAAACAGTAATTGATAAATATTTTGTATGTTATATGTACTGAATACTGTATAATTATAAAACGTAAATCACAGAAAAATATTAAGAAAATAATAAGAAAGTCCAGCTGGTGTGGCTCAGTGGTGGAGTATCAACCTATGCACCGAAGTGACTGGATCTGTTCCCAGTCAGGGCACATGCCTGGGTTGTAGGCTTGATCCCCAATAGGAGACATTGCAGAAGTAGCCAACCAATGATGTTTCTCTTTCAACACTGTTTCTATCTTTCTATCCCTCTCTCTTCCTCTCTTTTTAAAATAAATGAAAACACAATTAAAAAAAAAAAAAAATCAGCCCTAGCTGGTTTGGCTCAGTGGAAAGAGCATTGGGATGCAGACTGAAGGGCCCTGGGTTCAGTTCTGGTCAAGGGCTCATGCCTAGTTGAGAGCTTGATCCCCAGTGTGGGGTGTGCAGGAGGCAGGCAATCAATGGTTCTCTCTCATCATTGATGTTTCTATCTCTTTCTTCCTCTATTGAAAAAATCTGCAGTATAAACGGACCTGTGCAGTTCAAACCCATATTGTTCAAGGATCAACTGTATACAGAAAAGAAAAAAAGACATCTGATTGGGAAGCAGTTTCGGTTTTGAACAAATTAAATTTGAGACACACAATAGCTGGAAGTGGAGTTCAGCATGAGGTCAAAACAGGTGACACAAACCTATAGGTCATCGCTGTACAGGTGACCAGCAGAGCTGTGACCAGAGGAGACAGCCTAGGGAGAGAAATGCACAGAAGAAAGAACCCCAGGGAGTGACACAAATCAAGAGGAAGTAGAGGACACAAAGCCTACAGAGACAAGAAGGGGTGGAATTGTGGAAGCCAAGAGATATAAAGCATTTTTATTGGAAAAGTGAGCATAGAAGCCATCTCTGAGTTCAGCAAGAACAGGATGAAGAAAGAAGGTGCAAACATAGTTAAGGGTGTAGGTCAAGGCACTGGGAAGCTGCAGAGTATGGGTGAACAATGAAGGCCCCTCCATTAACCCCTGGTCTTTCTTCATTTCTCCTACTACCATGTCTCTCCATCTCTAGTCTTCTCAAAATTTTCTTTCTTTTTTTTTTTTTAATAATATATTTTATTGATTTTTTACAGAGAGGAAGAGGGAGGGATAGAGAGTTAGAAACATCGATGAGAGAGAATCATCGATCAGCTGCCTCTTGCACAACCCCTACTGGGGATGTGCCCACAACCAAGGTACATGCCCTTGACTGGAATCGAACCCGGGACCTTTCAGTCCACAGGCTGATGCTCTATCCACAGAGCCAAACCAGTTTCGACTAGTCTTCTCAGGATTTTCAGATCTAATCCTCTCTAGATAACAACTGACTCCAAAAGGCTTTCTTCTCTAGTAGTTAGGTGCATGCTTCCTTTATGTTAAGAAATAGTGTTCCAAATAAGGGAGCAAGCATCATTTTGAAAAAGTAGTCCCAAATCCCTCCACTTGCAAACCACACTTCCCAGATGCTGGCACTACAGTGACAGGTGGAGGAACACAGTGGCTGAGGGTGATGCATAACAAGGGCAATCCAGGTTTTGAAGGACCTGAAGCTTATATGCTTTTGGGAATTCATTTAAAAGAAAATAAATAAAAGACGAACATAAAATTAGGTACAAAAGTGAATGCATATCTATATATCTGAAAGCCTTATATGCAAGTTGTCCATGTGGGAGTTGACCAATCACTTGCTATGATGTGCACTGACCACCAGGGGGTGGTGCTGGAAAGAAGGAATGCCCTGGTTACTAGCTGAAAGGCCCTGATCAGCCCTGACCTGCCGGCCAGGCCTAGGGGCCCTACCCTTGCATGAATTTTGTGCACCGGCCCTCTAGTATAAAAATAAATCTCATCAAATTTTGGGAGGCTTAGAGATTCATTATCCTGGCTTCTTTTCCCTATCTATTATTTTGTACAACTTCCAGAACAGGAAACAAAGCACTTATGGTGCTGAGGTTCAAATTCATTGTTTGACAGTATATCTTGCAAACAAGCAGAAGTTTAGTGGTCAGTAAAAGGAATTATTATGCCTTATAACATATATATATATTTCAATCTTATCTTGCCTAGAATTAATTAGCACTGTAGCTAAACAATAGTTGAAAATCATTTCACATTCTCTAAACTGACCCTTTCTTAAAATATCTTAGTATTCTGTTCTAAGAGGTAACTTGTAGAAATACAACAAAAAATAAATCTTTTAATAAAGAAATCAAAGTCTAGGATCTGATTTACTCATGCTTGAAACAAGCTGCTAAGTGAATGGCTCTTACATCCAGGGCCCTGGCGAGTGATGGCCAAAAGCAGCAGACTCCTCATGTGGTTATCATGTTTCCATACAAGCACTATATTCTCTGGTCAAGTATTGGGAGGTGAGGTATTTGCATGGTCTGATCACCTGTGCTCTGTGCACCAAGCAAACATCTGCAGTTTGTTGACTCCTCAACTCAGGAGCAATTAATATGTCACAGGCCCATGAGTGACTAGTCATATCCCTAAATTCAATACCTTCATGGTTCTTCTCCATAACACCAAGAAATGACAAATACTCACCAAATTGGTGAAATAGTAGCCATCCTCTCCAGACATTAATCGGCTTGGGTTGCAGAAGCGGGTGATATACTGAATATTAGACTGAAGGCGTGGAGGATTACCCTTCAAAACAATGTAGATGAGAGTGGGTAAGAAGTCATCGGCTGAAGCTGGCTCATCCTTGGTGACCTTGATGGCATTGAAGATATGCTTGCTGCACTTGGTGATGCAGGCCAACTTATCTCTAGGTACACGCTTTGAATCCATTTCAATAATATCTGTAAAACAGAAAACACAGTGCTTCTAATGAGAAAATAATTACATAAAAGAAGCATTAGGATAATCATTTTATCCTATTAAGTTGGCGAGGTAACCTCACTAATCCCATTTCCACCAGTTACCTTAGTGTATATAAAACTTAAATCAGGGTGTGGGAAGAGGGGGTGATAAAAAAAATAAAACTTAAACCCATTGTAGCTGGTTTAGCTCAGTGGTTAGTATTTGCCCGAGAACTGAAAGGTCTTAAATTTGATTTTGGTCAAGGGCACGTACCTTGGTTGCAGACTCGATCCTTGGCCCTGGTTGGGGCATTGTAGGAGGCAACCAACTGATATGTCTGTCTCACACTGACATTTCTCTCTCTCCCTCTTTTCCCATCCCTTTCACTCTCCTTAAAGATGGGAAAAATATTACTGGGCAAGGATTAACATTTATTTAAAATAAATAAATAAATACACACATACGTTCTTAGATCGCACAAACAGTAAATACCAGCTCATACTTACAAAAATAGAACATGTGACCATGACCTAGCACTACAAATTTCTTTTAATCCTCAGATGATGCAAGTGGTATTTTTTAAAAAATATTTTTAATTGATTTTGAGAGAGAAGAAGGAAGAGGGAGACAGAGATATAAACATTGATGTGAGAGCAATATTGATCAGCTGCCTCCTGCATACCTCCTACTGGGAATCAAGCCCAAAGCCTGGTCATGTGCCCTGACCAGGAATCGAACTGGCAACTTTTCAATGCATGGGATGACGCTCAACCAACTGATTCACACTGGCTAGGGCAGGGATAATATTATTATTAAGAGAATTGAGGTTCAAAGAAGTTTAATGACCTGACCAAGACCATACATATTGCAAGTAACAGAGGTGAGATTTGAAACCAAGACTGATTCTAATTGTCATTCTTTTAATCCTGATGTAAAACTCCTTATGAGTTCCATGGAGAAATAAGTCTCTTAACTGCTTCTTAATGTATTGTAAAACTCATTTAGAAATCCTCAATTTGCATACTGCTGTTTAGCAATGTGGTTATTATACACAGCATATTTCTCAGAAAAAAATTGCTTCACTGCCCTTTACTACCACTAAGTCCAACTGGTGGGCTCTTTTCTGTTTTTAATATATTTTTATTGATTTCAGAGAGGAAGGGAAAAGGAGAGAGAGAGAGGAAGAGAGAGAGGCTGCCTCCTGCATGCCTGACACATTGGGGAATAGCCTGCAACCCAGGCACATGCCCTTGTCTGGAATTGAACCTGGGACCCTTCAGTCAGCAAAAGGTTGGCACTCTATCTACTGAGCCAAACCAGCTAGGGCCAACTGGTGGACTTTGTCAGAGGACTAGGAGATGGTGAAGAAAAGTTAGGTACAAACTCAGTGCCAGAACAATGCAAGCCAGGGAAGGAAGTGTGCCTTTGGATGCACATATATGCTTGCCATCTGGAATATCATCAAAGTAAATAGCTGAGGCAGCTGAATTTGATACCAGTTCTTGCCATGAGCAGGAATAAAAGTTTCAGATTTAGGTGACATGGTGGTACGAGCCAGAGAGTTCTTTTTGCTCAACTCCTATCCGTGAAGTAAGCTACTTGAGGGACCCTCACAGGACCATTAACCATGTGTCAAAGACAGAAACACTGAACAGTGCAGAAGCCTTATGTTAACTTACTAATGCTTTTATTCTCTTTACTTATGCACCTATATTGTGAAGTATATAATCTTCACTTTTTTATGATTAGTTCCTTTACTTTTTTATTTCTGGATTATAATATATGTCTCAGTCTATTTTTCTTTTTGCATTTAAATAGAACTTATTACAAAAAAGATACCTGGGGAAGATTTTTTTTATACTTTCAAAGCCCTTTGTTCTTGATTTTTATTCTCTATTTTAAACATTTAACTATTTTCTTATTAATTTTTATTGTTTATGCTTTAAAGTAAATAAAAATGAATTATTTTTTTATCTGGATGCATGTGTAATTGCCACTACCAAGGGACAAGGCCACGAGTGTAAAGAAGAGAATATAATGGGGGGATTTCTCCCACTCTCTTCATCCTGCAGCAACCCCTCCATCTCCTCTCTGAGTATCACTCAGCTTAAAAGAAGTTTCTTGGTTGGACTCATTTGGACTGCCACAACCCAACATGCAGCTCCATGATTTACACTATCCTAAAGTCTAAATTAGGAGATGCAGGAGGAAAAACAAACAAAACAGGAAACTAGCCATTATATTAGCTGTTCTTCTTTTTCCCCCTCTTTTTTAAAAATATATTTTATTGATTTTTTTACAGAGAGGAAGGGAGAGGGATAGAGAGTTAGAAACACTGATGAGAGAGAAACATCGATCAGCTGCCTCTTGCACACCCACTACTGGGTATGTGCCCACAACCAAGGTACATGCTTTTGACCGGAATTGAACCTGGGACCCCCTCAGTCCACAGGCCGACACTCTATCCACTGACCAAACCAGTTTTGGCGTAGCTGTTCTAGCAATGATTTCCCTCCCCAATCTGCCTGCTTTTCTGAGTTCTTGCCTGGGTCTCTTGTCCCTGGCTTTTACTTCTAATCAGTAGGAAAGGTAGGGTTGAGCATGCATCCTCTATCTTAGCAGATGTCTAGACTTATCTTTAATGGAGTTTTGAAACAAAGTAGTCTGTACTCCTAGGTTATGTTTGACATTTGGGTTGGAAAATTCCATGTTGCAGGATTGTCCCGTGCACTGCAGGATGTTTAGTAGCATCCCTGGCCTTCACCCACTGGAAGCCAGATGTCAACTAAAATGGAAAATGCCTCATGCAGTGTATTTATAAACAAAAATGATAGTGCTGATTAGTAGCACACAGGATGACTTGGAGAAACTGAACTGGTATCTCTATATTTAAGAACTGTATTATTTTTAAAAAGGACTATTATAGACTGTCCTATAAATACTCCTGTACTTACACTGACAATTTTAACAATTAGAAAGGAAGTTATTATATAATCTTTGGTTCTCAAAGAGGCAGAATATTGCACTTGGATTGGCAAGATATCTGGGCTACAATGAGAAAGAGTAAGAAGGTGTTTACAATTTTGTGGCTGAATTTGTACTATCAAAATATCTCTTGAAACATCTCAAGTGTCTTGAAGAAAAATTTTACCTCTCAAATTCTATTAACAAATGGTTGATGTATTGAAATCCTCTTTCTTAGTTCTATTTTTAAATAAACAACAGTTGGGTACTTGCAGTTTCTGGTTTTGCAAGGTCTGTCCTGTGACTTTTCAGAAAAGTGTTCTCAACATAAATTCCTATAGAGTACTTTAAACATAAACCATGCCAAAACCGGTTTGGCTCAGTAGATAGTGTCAGCCTGCGGACTGAAAGGTCCCGGGTTTTATTCCGGTCAAGGGCATGTACCATGGTTGAACCAGGGGGACCAAGCTTTGCAGGGAGCGGAATGGCTCCTCCCAGTTGGGGGTGTGCAAGAGGCAGCTGATTGATGATTCTCTCTCATGGATGTTTCTAACTCTCTATCCCTCTCTCTACCTCTCTGTAAAAAATCAATAAAATATATTTTTAAAAATATTTAAACATAAACCAGTTGGTCTTGAACTTGGAAAAAGTCTAAAAGGTGCATATTCAGGCTTTTGAGAGGCTGTTACCTTCAATCTCTTATAATGTTCCCTGAGCAAAAAGTAGGCCTTGACCCAAAGAACTCAGTTCACTGGACCTATGACATAGCCTAGCAGAAAGGCTTTGAACAAAGATTACAGCATTTAGCTATGTCATTTAGACTCTTAATGGGGAGTTAAAAACAATTCATGTAATAACAGGAGTTGAAATGCAAAGATAAGCAGAACCTGAGAAAGTGGGAAAGAATCATGTTAATAGTAGATAACCCAGTCTCTAGAGAGAGAGCTGTTTCTAAGTCCTGTCTCCCTTCCAACCCTCATAATATCTTAAGCAAACCCCCATTTCTTCTTGTTACTTGAGGGAGTCTCTGGTTCTTATAACCAAAGGAGCCAGCTATTAATACTTCATAGCCTGCCTCCAACACTGCTACCGGCAACTGGCCTACTTTCCTTCCCGACAGAATTTCATTAACAATCTCTAAGTGAGCAAATCTTTCCAAGTCTTCCTAATTAAGGAGAAGTTGTCCAAGGTTGGATGTCTTTTTCTTGTTTGTTTTTAAATGTTTGTGTTGCACACTACTCATTATTCCTATGACTAAGAAACAGAAACCCTATTAGGTGCCTAGACCTATCCAGAAATGGCAGAACCATCAATATAGGGCACTTCATATACTTTCTGAACAAACCAGAAAAGTAATTCAAAGCATATCTCTGATTAACAGCCAATTAGAAGCATCATTTTAATATGTAACTCTAATTTGGGTATAACCTTGCCTCACCAATTACCTCCCTCTCTCCAAACTTACTTTGACTATATAAATGCGAATGAGCCCAGCTCAGTGGTTGAACATTGTCCTATGAACCAGGAGGTTGTGGTTCAATTCCTGGTCATGGCACATGCCTGGGTTGCAGGCTCCATCCCCAGTAGGGGGCATGCAGGAGGCAGCCAATCAATGATTCTCATCATTGATGTTTCTTTCTCTCTCTATCCCTCTCCCTTCTTTTCTGAAATCAATAAAAATATTTTAAAAAAGAATTAATGCAACTGAGTTTTAAAAAATTTATCTATATTTGATCTTAGTTTAGTTCAATATCCAAGAAATAAGGATCCTGGGTCAAGAAAAGTGAAGGGGAAAAGTAATTTACCTGCTAATCAGAATGCTTTCAATTCATAAAACTAATACTCCTGAAAATCATTCTTACCACATTCCAATATATCTTTGCAATCTGAATTTTAGAAATATTTACTATTTTTTTGTTCAACTGAAATAAGTATGGGTTTCTAAAACATAATGTTAACTTCAAGGGAAAAATATCCAAATACACACACACACACACACACACACGTTTCACTGACCTGTAATTGCTTTCACCACCATATCAGACACTTCGGGAATTTCTTCATTAACAGGGACACAAAGCATCTGAGGTGTAACCCAATGCAGGGCTCTACAAGAAAGAAAGACAGTAAAAATGTTCAAAGAATGGACTTTTTAGTCTGGTCCATTAGTTAAAGCATTGACCCAAGGACTGAAGGGTCTCCGATTCTATTCCAGTCTACATACCTGGGTTGTAGACTTGATCCCTGACCCTGGTCGGGATGTGTGCAGGAAGCAACCAATTGATGTGTCTTTATCACATCAATGTTTCTCTCTCTCTCACACTCTGTCAATCCCCTCCCTTACAATCTCTCTATAAAAATCAATGGAAAAAATATCCTTGGGTGAGGATTAACAAAAAATCAAACAGATAAAAAAAGAATGAACTATAGCCATTTCTCTTATGATTTCCATCAGTTACAAGAAAATAAGGGACACCACTGATTAATAGGGCAATTCTAGGCCCAACCACATCATCCCTGCACAGACCAGAAGCTCAGCTGATGTGTCAAGTAACCAGGACCCTAAAGTGAGACTTCTCTTCTGCACTTATCACAAGAAAAGCAAAAGAACATTTTACTGGTTGTGATGAGATTATATTCAGTCTGAAAGCACTAGATATCTGAGAATAAATACTTGAGAAGAAGCTGCTGCTCCCTGTCTTGTACACCACCATTAAGGTCCTCTGGAGCACACTGGGGCTTGTGTGAGAGATCAAGAAGCACCTGTCACTGAGTTCTCCTATCACATCGCAGCTCCAGAGACTGTGTTGCCTACCTCCCACCATTTACTTGAATTTCAATCAAAAGCCCATTTAGGTCTATCTTCTATCTTCCCAAGATCAACTTCTTATTTCTAATGTGACACCAGAAAGCATTGACTCATCAATCATCAGCCTCACTGTCTAGGAACTCCATTTGAAATTCCTTGGCCCCTCTCCTCCAGAAACACCTCGTCAAGCTCAGTCTTTGTGTGGTTCCCAAATTTGATAACCTATTCTCTGTGTTTGAATTACCAGCATCACTACTCTTGCACTATTGGAATGCAGAGCACTGAGGCTCACTCTGCTGGTCATGAAAGACCGGATGTGCTGCCCAGTATTATCTATCCAGTGCTAGCGGAAAGATGTGATTGGAGGAATGGCTGAATAATGAGCACCACTGGTAGAGATGAGAAAAAAAATGATACCCATCACATTGATATGGATATTTACAGCTTCCTACTTGATAAGATAGTTAGTACAATGAAATGAGAAAATAATGACATTTCCTCCTTAGAAAATTTGGATGTTTTAAAAAATCAGAAACATAAAAAATGATTCTTACCTAAAACTGCTGGAAGTCAGATGGATAAGCAAAATGGTGCCTCAGAGCTCTTTCCTCCTATCAATGTACCATATTCTTTTCTTTCTGACCCCACAAAGAAGCTCATATGCTAAGGATGGCAGGCATATTAGCTTGCTCTCAAGGTCTGAAATTCAAATGTCCTGTTTTCCTACAATGTGTTCTCCCAGTAGTTGGTAGTAAAAACAGTGGCAAATTAAATCCCTTCATGTTCAGTTTCGCTTTCCTCAGTTTCAATTACCCATAGTAACTGCGGTTCGAAAATACTAAGTGGAAAACTCCAGAAATAAATAATTCATGTTTTAAATTGCTGTTCTGTGTGATAAAACCTTGCACAGTCCCATTCGAGGTGTGAATCATCCCTTTGTCCAAATATCTACACTATATACTCTACCTGTCCACTGGTCATGTAGTATAGTCACTCAGTAACTGTGTCAGTTATGAGATCGACTGTCACAGTATCGCAGTGCCTGTGGTCAAGTGAACCTTATTTTACTTAATAATGGCCCATAGTGCAAGAGTAGTGATGCTGGTAATTCAAATATGCCAAAGAGAAGCCATGAAGTTCTTCCTTTAAGTGAAAAGGTGGAAGTTCTCAACTAAGTAAGCTATATTGGGAGAGAGAAAGACCAAATAACTTTATTACAGTACATTGTAATTCTTCTACTTTATTCGTTATTGTTGTTAATCTCTTGATGTGCCTAATTTATAAATTAAACTTTATCATAGGTATATGTGCAGAGGAGGGAAAAGTACATATAGGGTTCAGCACTATCTGCAGTTTCAGGTTTCCACTTGGGGTTTTAGAACAAACCCCTTGCAGATAAGGGGGATTACTATACAACAATACAAAGCAAAGCAATCAACTACCTGATCCTCTTCTGAACAGCAAGATCTTTCTTCTCATCATCAGTAGTTTCTGGACAGAACACATACTTATAGAGACGAGTCATGATGTACTTTTCAATCTGATCCATTATCTTCTCAACTCTTTCAGGAGGCACTGAAATATCCAAGTGGAAATAAAAGCCCAAAATGAGGAAAGACATTTAAAATTAAGAATTATTTTCATAGTACTTGCTACATAGCAGAAAACTAACTTGCTAAAAATACATTAAACACACCCAAAAAGAAAAGTATGAGGTGTTACATTGAAATATACCTTTAAAATTTTTATCTGACTTTTGGGACTGCCTTTTACATAATCCCCACTTCTAACTTAAGCTGTTTTGGCAAAACCTACCAGGTGTTAGGTCTTCCTCACACCCAAGTGGGAAGACTCAGCATGGGTCCCTCTCTATTGCTACATTTAGAAAAGCACTTTAAATTCCCAGACTGACGGAAATTTCACTATTCTGAGGTTTACTATAAAACCTTAGAGATCTCTCCCAAGTATATACATGGGATAGATTTCTCAAATGAAAATGTATGCTAAGTACATCCTAAAATATAACATCAATGGAAGTTAAATTCAAGAAGAATTTCTATACACCTAAAGTAAATCAGTGGTTCTCAATTTTCTCCTGCCTTAACCTATAAGAAATATATAATCATGACCAAATAACTCACCAACATGGTCATTTCAAAATGAGGGTTTCATTTAGAAGCCTCCCAAAGAGTTTCAATCAGCTCTGCCTCAACCCCTAATGAAGTTATTAAACCTTGCTCATAAATTACTCTATTGCTTTGATTATCTTGAAACAGTTCATATGGTGGTATTCAATGGCACTCCTAAGTATAAGACCAGCTACCAAAATGCTGGGGTTGGGCACACCAGCCAGGCCTTTAGAGAAAGAGAGAAACTGCTAAGAGATCTAGCAGTCTGGCCCTGTGCAACCACCAGCAATCCCTCAATTTGGGCTGGGTAGCAAAGTATTACCTTTCCCACGAGTCTGCATTCTTTCAGCCACATTCTGGTAAAAATCCTGAGTGCACTCTGACTGTTCCTCAATGCTTAAATCCTAAAACAAAGGGACAAAGAGGCTGCTAGGTAGCTGAAGAAAGATCAGGAGTAAAACTTTAAATTTTATATAGTCTCCGAACCCACTCCTTTAACTGGTACCAATCTCAAAAGTACTCACAAATTATATTAACTGTGCAGGGGAGAAAAGCCTATTCCTAAATATTAATTATAACACTCTATGACTTATTTCTTTTTTATATATATATATTTTATTGATTTTTAACAGAGAGGAAGGGAGAGAGAGAGAGAGCTAGAAACGACGAGAGAGAAACATCGGCCAGCTGCCTCTTGCACACCCCTACTGGGGATGTGCCCGCAACCAATGTACATGCCCTTGACCGGAATCGAACCTGGGACCTTTCAGTCCACAGACCGACGCTCTACCACTGAGCCAAACCGGCTTCGGCTCCTTTTACTATATATTTTATTAAATGAGTATAATGCATATTTTGATAATTTACATGTTTATGCACATTTCTATTTATCTAACCTACTTAGCCATTTTTTGATGGCTTTATTATAGTAACCAATTTTTTAGACCATGCTCTACTACTGTGCATTTGGGTTCCTTCCCCCTTTAAACTCCTATGTACTATAGCTATAAACAATTATGTGAAAGCTGTTTCTTTTGGGCTATTTCTTTGTGATACATTTTCAAAAGAAACTTATAGTTTCTAAGATAGCTTTGAGTATCTATTACTAGATATAATCCTCAGAAACTGCAATGTACAGTCATCAGCCATGCACATGTGCTTATTCCTCCATGACCTCTACATTGCGCTTCATTAATTTTTATTTGGTTTTATTGATTTTTAGGTGTATATATATATGTATGTATTAGGTCTAGTAATAATTAATGTCGTTTTCTAATAATTTTTAAATCGAATTTATTTAAACAATACAACAAAATTTAATCAACAATATAGTTGCCGTTGTTTTCTACTACTTGTGCCCAACACTCAGGAAGCATTTTAATCCCTCTGTTGTAAAATTATTGTGATTTTGATGCAAAAAATTCGGTCAATGCATTTTTGAGGCATTCTTCATTATTAAATTTTTTTCCAAGAAGAAAGTTTTGCAAAGAACGAAACAAATGGTAATCGGAAGGGGCAATATCAGGAGAATATGCAGGTTGAGGGAGAACTTCCCATTCCAACTGGCACAGTTTTTCAGCAGTGATTCTTGCAGTATGCGGTCGTGCGTTATCGTGGTGAAGAATTACGCCCTTCCGATTAATCAGCGCGGGTTCTTTTTCTCTTAAAGCTTGGGCTAACCTTTCCAATTGGGCACTATACACTGCACTTGTAATGGTTTGGTTAGATGGTAAAAGTTCATAATGAAGAATTCCTTTAAAATTCCACCAAACACACAACATCACTTTTTTCGCATGCAAGTCAGGTTTTGGCGTGGGCTGCGGAGCCTCCTTTTTGTCCAACCATTGAGGCCGCCTTTTCAAATTAACATCCAGCACCCATTTTTCATCTCTGGTAACAATTTGCTCTAAAAACGGCAAACGGTTTTGACGAGAGAGGAGCCAACTGCAAATTGTGACTCTTTGATTACGGTTGTTGTCGGTCAACTCATGAGGAACCCATTTTCCAAACTTTTGGACTTTGCCAAGTGCACACAATTGATTGGAAATTGTTTTTTGTGAACAATTTAAAGTTGTCGCAAGCTCTTGTTGGGTAATTTGAGGATTTTGCACCAAAAGAGCTTGAAGAGCTTCTTGATCAAAATTGGACACACGGCCTCGACCACTCTTGTCATCTAACGAAAAATTTCCCTCGCGAAATTTCTCAAACCAACGCTGGCATTTTCTGGCGCTAACTGCATCTTGACCAAGAGCACTACAGGTGTTTTTTGCAGCCTCACTTGCTTTTCTTCCTAATTGGAACTCGTAAAGCATGCAGTGCCGAATATGCTCTTCATCAGCCATCTTCTTAGCCCTAGTTTTGCAACAAAAACCAAACCAAACACAAACTTTTTCAAGCAAAACTTGTTAATTGCACTTCACACATTCTGTAGATACCACGTGTTTGAAGGTTATGTCAATACAAGTCAACGCCAAGCAAGATTTTAAACGAATGTTTAAAAACGACATTAATTATTGCTAGACCCGATATGTCCCACTTTCTCCCAAAGTATATGAAGTCTACATAAAAGATAAACATAAGTTCACCAGAATAAGCTGGAAGGCGATTAAAAAAAAGAAAAACAAAAACAAAACATGGAGAGAAACAGAAAGTGAGCCAGGAATGACAACACAAAAATGTATTCCTTGAAGATACAAAACTTAACAGTCAATCCATAAATTTCTTTCAACTTTCTAGCAATCACCACTAAGATGAAAATAGTCACATAATTAAGAGTCCAACATATAGAAACAAACTAATTTTTTAGGTGAAATTCTGACACCAAAATTAGAAACTTCTCTCAAGGGTTCTCATAAAGATCTCACTGTAGAAAGGCAAACTCCATAAGACTCCTTCTCACAGACTGCCCTGCACAGGCCCAGGACGACATACGCCAGGGGCTAACGAAGCCCTGGTAAAGCATGCGGACCCTGATGCTCTGGCTTAATTCAGAAAGGATGTCCTGGTGTCAGGGAAAGTGACCAAACCTTACTTATCTGCTTTACCATGTCTCTCCTCTTCATTCTTTCCTGGTTTGGGCCTTCATTACCACTCACCTGTTTAGCTGCTCTACCCACCTTTCATCTCTCTCACATTTCAATCCATCTTTAACATACCACAGTCCGACTGATCATGCTAGATTGTGCCTCAAATCACCACTAGACAGATGCTGCCTTCAAAAGCTGCCCAAGAAAGTCCCCAATAGTTACTGCCTTTAGGGCTCAGTTCACACCTTATCTCCTCTAAAATACTGTCTCTCATTCCTTTAATAAAAAAAATAAAATAAAATAAAAAGTCTCACAGCATTTGCAGCACTCTGACTACCTTGACGATAGTTCTTTACTGGCTTGGTTTGTTATTGACATAAGAGTCATTTGGTTGAATTAGAATTATCTAGTAAGGCCGAAACCGGTTTGGCTCAATGGATAGAGCGTCAGCTTGGGGACTGAAGGGTCCCAGGTTCGATTCCGGACAAGGGCATGTACCTTGGTTGCGGGCATATCCCCAGTAGGGGGTGTGCAAGAGGCAGCTGATCGATGACTCTCTCATCGATGTTTCTAACTCTCTATCTCTCTCCCTTCCTCTCTGTACAAAATCAATAAAATATATTTTTTTAAAAAAAATATATATATATATTAAAAAAAAAAGAGAGAGAGAGAATGTACATGATTTGAGCAACTCAGGCCTGCTTAGCTACTTCTTTCCTGCACACCTTTTGTAATGTTAAACTTTTATTTATATTCACCACAATTTCCCACTGTTTCCTTCCACTTTACCTGACTTTAATTTTTCATTGCACAGATGTTTGTAAGTTAATAGCATTCTTCATTTCACCTGGTTATTATGAACAATTCTTATTTTATTTTATTTTACTTTTAAAATAAAATAAAATAAGAATAGAAAAATAAAATAGAGAAAGGGAGAGAGATAGAGAGCTAGAAACGTCCATGAGGGAGAAACATCGATCAGCTGCCTCCTGCACATCCCTCCAGATGTGCCCGCAAGCAAGGTACCTGCCCCCGACCGGAATCAAACCTGGGACCTCAGTCCGCAGACCGACGCTCTACCACTGAGCCAAACCGGCTTCGGCTATTATGAACAATTCTTCAACAGTTCAATTTTAGTTAAGTTGTTTCATATTTAAGTCTTCTATTTGGCTAGAATGTAAGGTGAATAGTATGAGACACAGACCTTAAATAATCTGTAAATAAGCTTCCTGTCTTTTTTAGGAGGAATTAGTAAAAAGCAACTGTATTCTCCTTTGTTTTCTGGTTGTCTCATAATGTGCTCCTGAGAAACTGAATCCACTCCTGGAATCCTGGTTTATTTCACTGCTTTATATGGTATATTAGAAGCCCAGCACACAAAAATTCGTGCACTCAGGGGGGGTCTCTCAGCCTGGCCTGTAACCTCTCACAGCCTGGCCTCTCTCTGTGGGAGACAACCAGCGGCTGATCAGGGAACGGCAGCAGCCAGCCCTGCCCCTCTTCACCCCACTGCCACCACCGGCAGTGGCCTACCTCTGCAGGAGACGACCGGCGGGGCAATTGGGGGATGGTGCCAGCAAGCAGCTGGCCCCCCCCATCACCCTCTGCTGACGCAGGTCACCACCGCCCCTTGATCACTGTCCCCTCCCTCTATCCGCTGGTACTCACCTTGGCTGGCCTGGCACTATTTGCTTACGGGCCCCATCCCCCACCAATCTGCCACTAGGTCGATTTGCATATTAGGCTTTTATTATATAGGATATTAGAGTCCAGTGCATGAATTTGTACAAAGGTTGGGGGGGGACTGCAGGAGGTTGGCCACTGGCCCCTAGGAGGGAACTGGCCCTTGAAACCCTTGGGAAAGGGGCCATGTTCACCGCCACCCACCCCTGGTTCCCCATCCCAGCCAGGGCCCTAAAGCCCTGGGGTCAGGAGAGGAGATGATTGTTGTTGTGCCAGGTGTGGAAGGAACAGACATCATAATGGTGTGTAGGAGGCAGCTGATTGATGTTTCTCTCCCATCGATGTTTCTCTCTCATCGATGTTTCTAGCTCTCTATCTCTCTCCCTTCCTCTCTGTAAAAAATCAATAAAATTAAAAAACAACAACAACAACAACAAAAAATATATATATATTATTGATTTCAGAGAGAAAGAGAGGGAGAGAGAAACATCAATGATGTGAGAGAATCATTGGCTGCCTCTTGCACATCCCCTCCTGGGGATCGAGCCCACAATCCAGGCATGTGCCCTTGGCCAGAATCAAACCTGGGACCTTTCAGTCCACAGGCTGACACTCTATCCATTGAGCCAAACCAGTTTCCTTCTCTACCTTAGCAAGGAGTTGAAAATTTTAAATCAAAATACAAAGCAAAACAAAAACAAAAATACCCTAAAATGATTGCTACTGATCTAACAATTGTTACTTAAGAGCTCAAGGTCTACTAACTATGGTAGTTTATACTATTTACAAGGTACAAGTTAGGAAGGCTTAGTGCTAAAGTATACTATAAAAGTGTCTTGGATGTCACACTTTCCACATAAAGATGATCTAAACGCCACTGAGTTGCAGTGGAAAAGTACTAGCCTGGGAGTCAGGTTATAACTTTGTTCAGAGGCATTTCTTAGGTAACTTAATATCTCTGGGTCTTGATTTTCTCAGGTATAAAGTGACAAAGCTGAGCTAAATGATCTCAAAGACCCTTCCTCAAACCAAAACTCTGTTTCTAAGTAGTCACTCTCAACCTACCCTTTTGTAATGCATTGCTTCCAAAAACATCTTGGTCTGCTTATAGATTTCTTGGCCTGTCTTGTGGAAGGTCTTGAGAAATTCTATGAACTCTTTAGACACTCTATCCGTTTCCATGCTGGTTTGCCGGTTTATGGAAGGACTGGGAGCTTTTGCTTCCTGGATTTCTGCTGGGAAAATTAAAAATAAGTTTCATTATACAGAAGAGCCATGCATGGTATTACTTTAAGTTTCTAATTTAAGATTATTTAAATGATGCTTAATCAAAGTTAAACTTGACTTTAAATTACTTTATGTTTAAATATTTGGGCAACTTTCCTTAAACTAAATTTATTTATTTTTTATTTTATTTATTTTTTTTTAATTTATATTTTATTGATTTTTGTGCAGAGAGGAAGGGAGAGAGATAGAGAGTTAGAAACATCGATGAGAGAGAGTCATTGATCAGCTGCCTCTTGCACACCCCCTACTGGGGATATGCCCGCAACCAAGGTACATGCCCGTGACCGGAATCGAACCCGGGTCCCTTCAGTCCCCAAGCCGACGCTCTATCCATTGAGCCAAACCGGTCCCGGCCTAAATTTATTTTATAAACAAAAATACAAATAGAAAAAAACCCTGCATGATGTGAAAGATATCTCTATTCAAACAAAAGTTGCTTTATTTGTATTTTCTTGGCCAAAATATATCATGCTTTGATTATTTAATCATTAATACTAAAATGGCACCACTGTCTTGAACAACTTTCTCAAAGATTTTCATGAGTTTAAAAAACTAACCAAGTAAGCCGAAACCGGTTTGGCTCAGTGGTAGGGCGTCGGTCTGCGGACTGAAAGGTCCCGGGTTCGATTCTGGTCAAGGGCATGTACCTTGGTTGCAGGCACATCCCCGGCAGGGGTGTGCAAGAGGCAGCTGGTCGATGTTTCTCTCTCATCGACATTTCTAGCTCTCTATCTCTCTCCCTTCCTCTCTGTAAAAAATCAATAAAATATATTTTAAAAAATAAATAAATAAAATAAAAAACTAACCAAATAATCATAAGTACAAAAATTTAAATGACTTACAAAATGTTAGACAATCTTTCCAAAACCATTTTACTTGCCAAAAATGGCAAAAGGCTAATTTGTTTATGTGGAGATTAATAATTATTTATCCACCATTCGGTTTTCTTTTTTAAAAAAATGTATTTTATTAATTTTTTACAGAGAGGAAGGGAGAGGGATAGAGAGTTAGAAACATTGATGTGAGAGACATTGATTGGTTGCCTCCTACATGCACCCTGACTAGGGCAGGGGATTGAGCCTGCAACTGAGTCACACGCCCTTGACCAGAATCAAATCTGGGACCCTTCAGTCCAAGTGCCGACACTTTATCCATTGAGCCAGACCAGCTAGGGCCATGTAAAGGTTTTTAAAATAAAAATAACTTGGAATTGTGTCTTTTAAAGTACCAATCTTCTTTCTATGCTATGATGCACATTGTCAGAAGCTCTTGGAACATTTTTCTAAAACTGTCAAGGATGGTCAGTGATTGTACATGATTATTATGCACTTCAGTAATAGAAACCTCATCAAATGTCTACACATACAGGTGAAGATACAGGTAAACACACACACACACACACACACACACACACACACACACACACACATTCAAGGAAAAACACTAAGCCAGGAATTAGGAGACCTAAGCTCTAATACATCAATTCATAACTTTGGGTAAATTAGATAACTTTTATGAGCTTTCATGTCATTTGTAAAATGAGGCAGTTAGAGCTGATGGTTTTATAAAGTCAGTACTATTTCATCTGCTGTCATATGCCATTTCATTATCTATCATCCTATATAATAAAAGGGTAATATGCAAATTGACCCTAATGGCAGAATGACCAGAATGACCGCTCCACCAGTCACTATGAGGCGTGCTGACCACCTCTCGGTCCCTTTCCCCAGCCAGCAGTCTCAGATCACCCAATGGAGAATGGGGAATTGGGGGTGGGTGGCGGCAGGGGCAGGGCCAGCTCCAGGCAGCCGGGGAAGATGGCCCTGATCGCAGACCAGGTCTAGAGACCGTACCCATGCACGAATTTCATGTGCTGGACCTCTAGTAAATTCATAAGATTAGTGAGACTTTTCCTAAAGCAAGAAAACAGAATTTAAGCTAAATAGGAAAGAATGGCTTTGATCGATGCCCTTGAGCTCTCTATTAGCAAAGACTACTGTCTCAGAAAAACAGCATGTTTTAAAATAATTAACACTTACTATAGACTTACAATGTGTGTCAGGTACTGTGCTAAACTCTTTACATACATCAACTCATTTAACCTAAAGACATGCCTATGGTAAGTATTACTGTCCTTCAGAACAGACAGGCTTAAAGAGATTAGCTTGCTCTGAGTCACACAGCCGTATACCGAAAAGCTGAGACTCAAACCAGGCTGACTCTGAAGCTTATGTTCTTACCCACCTTAGTATACTACCTCCTAATAAATAAATCACGAGCCAAATACAGGAGAATAAACCAGGATCCAAAAATTAAAGGCACAATCGCTTCTCGGCCTTTTGACTAAGATCAAGTGTAAAGGCACACACACACAAAAAAATAGAACATCCAAAAAGACAGCCATTTAGATGGGAATGAATTTTACAAAGAAAAGTATATATTTCATTTCTCTTTATTTCTCCTAGAGTAAATAAACAAGCTTCTCTAAAAAAACAACCAAAGAGATTTTTTGTTTGATATATTGCCTGACCCTCAAACCCAATTTCATATATCATCTGATCCTCAAATTTGTGTTCATAGTCTCTAAAACCTTTTAAGAAGTTAAAAGGCTGAGCCTACATGTATGTGGATCTACTCTGTACTTCATTTAGGCACAGAAGAAAAAAAGAGAATCAGAAAATTACCCTTCTTTGATCCAACTCTGGATGAAGCACTAAAGAACTTTTTCACTGTGGTAACCTTGCGAGTCTTCTCATTGGTTTTCTTTTCTTCAAACTTGGAAAATGTGAGGGACTGAGCCCCTTGGCTGGTCTGACTGCTGGCAAAGGCCTCTTCTTCCTCCCGCTGTAGTCTGTAATTTAAGAGAGGATTAATGACCCAGATATCTCCAAGCTTTCCTTGTATCTAAAGGTTATTACTCAACGAATTGAGGAGGGTCTAAAATTTTTAGAACTAGAGTCTAAATACACCAAATACTAGGTCTGGAGTTTCTGACATGAAGCTATATTACATGTTACTATAGCTTTTAAAAAAGACTTTCTCCACAGATCATGTTCATTCAGCAACTGTACGAGGGATACATAAAAGAAAGTCCAGTCCTTTTCCCTAATAAGCTGAAGGCCAAACAGAAGGAAAAGGTAACTAAATAATTACGATATAATGTAATAGCTCCTATAGTAGAGAGTAAGACACAAGTACTATGAGAACACAGGAAAGAACAACTAAATCTGGTGGAGAAGTCCAAGACATTTAGGTATGTCTTAAAGGATGAATAAGATTCCACCAAGTCAAAAGGCATCCTGGAAAGGAGCTACAAATGTGAAGGCATAAGGTTCTTGTTACAAACCATGTGTGATTTCCCAGACAGTAGCATCAGCATCACTTAGAAACTTGTCATAAATGCAAATATTCAGGCCTCACTCCCAACCTAATAAAGTTAGAGACTCTGGGAATGAAGTCCAGCAATCATTGTTTTTACAAGATTTCCATCCAGGTGATTCTCATGCCTGTGGGAAACCTCAAGTGAAATTACAATTGGATGGAGTAAGAAACAGCAACAAAATCACAGGGAGAGGTGGTTAGTCTGAGGATGGAATAGAGATACAGCTTTCTCTGAAACAAAACAGAAGGTAATATAGATAGTACATTTGGCAGTGAAGAGGGGAGAAAGCTAAGAGCATTCATGTTTAGTGTCCTCTACTTCTTCATGAAATAGATCAGCTACTGAGAATATCAGGAGTGCAGTGAGAAATCTGAAGGAATAGTTAATGTTCTATATATTTTTTTTCTTTCTTTGATTGACCATGAAATCATCGAAAGGCGTGAGTGTACTTTATAATTCTGTGAGTTCACCAGAAAAGTGGTCATTCAAAATGTGGCTAATTAGATATAAAACTAGCAAAAGTGGTCAGAGTTCAGCTAGACTTTCTTTTACTGAGAAGTTTCAGATTCAAGTATGCTCTGGCAAAGAATAAACATTATTTGTGTTATTTTATTAGTTCCCATGCTCAACAGCTATGCCATCTTTTAATTTTTATCATAATCATATTTCTGGATAATACAAACTTCTCAAATAATAGTTCTGACCTACAAACCCCATTTTGGAAAAGTTAAATTTTCATAATTCAAGAACTACAAATTTGTTGATTTGTATATACTACGTGTTTGTGATATGCCAGATGCCATGCTGGGTATAACAAAAAATGGAGGGAAACAATGCTTGATGAGAGCCATATGCCAAGTCCTGTGCTAAGGACATCATAAATATTTCCTCATTTAGCCTCCACCATGAAGTATGTTTACTTCCATTCTTCTACTCCCAAATGTTATGGTCTGTATTAGGAAACTCATACACTTCAAACACAAAATACTTAAATGGTAAGACAAAAGAGAAAATGAAGGCACTGAAGCTATTCATTGAATACTGACTGAGAAGAAGAGGGGAAAATTTTTTCTCTTAATATTAGTCTGATTTGCTGAAAGCTCAAGACAGAAGAGAAAAAATGTATTCTGACAATAACAGTACTATGTATCCAGTTATATCACTGTAAAACCACCCCTAGTTAAGTCTTTTTACCGCTCTGCCAGTTCCCAATCCTCCTGAATCTGCTTCTGCCTGGCTTTGTGGTACTCTTCCCTCCAGCATTTGGAACAGAAGCCCTGCCAAGCAGGGTTGCCATAGTAACCACATCCTTTCTTGCACAGGAGTTCTGATTGGTCCACATGAATTCCTCTGCGTTCAGACTTAAGGCTCATTTTCTTCCTGTTAATCAAATAACAAACAAGAAAGTGTTGTTGAAAATGAATTATTCTATCAGCACAGCAATTAATACCCCCAAAACGATTCCATATCTTCAAGTTATAGGGGAAGGAAGAAGAAAAGGGAGAGGAGGAGGAGGTAGGGAAGGAGAAAAGGAGGGAAGAAAGACAGTTTAAATAAAGCAAATTCTTGACATACATAGTCATATTAAAGAAAACACTTCTTATTTCCTACCCAGTTACATAATGAACACTTTAAGAAAGGACTAATGTTACATTAAAGACTTAACAGTAAAACACAAAATTATAAAACTCCTAGAAAAAAGTATAGGGGGAAAACTTCATGACATTGATTTTGGCAAAGATTTCTTGGATATTACACCAAAAGCACAAGTAACAAAATAGACAAATGGGACTACAGCAAACTGTGCAGAAAAAAATCAATAGAATGATATAAAGTGAATATTTTGTGTCAAATAAAATAATTCAACATTTACCAAGAAAATGAATATAATTAAAGCATTGGAACAATCTAAACTCTTCAAGAAGGCATTCAGGGACCTCAGCAATCTAGGACAAATTAATATGAGCCCACTAGTTGTCATCACTCACTACATACATAGGTACTTAATATAATTATTTATGGCAAAAAAAAAAAAAACACAAGGTAGACATTATCTCCATTTTATTGTATGTGAAATCTGAGGCTCAGAGAAATTTTTAAAAGTATGTAAAGTCTACTAAAAACAAACAAAAGAGAAGGAATTCAAAACCAGGTAAGCTTCCAAAATGCTTGTATCACATTGTCCCCAATCTACTTGTCCAAACTCAACTCACATCCCTGAGCACAATAATGTTCATATGACCATTTCCTAAACATAACATGCATGTTTGTGCCTCAGCTTAGAATTCTTTCCTCTATTTTTCTTCTGCTTTTTAAAAATGATTCACTATGAAAGCTCATTTTAAGGGTCATCCCTTCAATGAAACTTCTCATGAGGTTCCTTCCACCCAGAATTAACTTTGAACCTCCATTCTTGTAACATTAGTTATTTAGGAACCAGTTAAGTCCATTCTACTTCATCATAAAGGATCATTTCAGCCCTGTCTGGATGACTCGGTTGGAGCATCATCCCATACACAAAAAGTTGGGGGTTTGATCTCTGATCAGGGAACATATGGGAAGCAATTGATTGATCCTTCTCTCTCACATTGCTGTTTCTCTCTTGCCCCCCTCCCCCCCAAAAAAAATAAAAACAATAAAAACATATCTTTGGGTGAGGATTAAAAAAAAAAATTTGCCCTAACTGGTTTGGCTCAGTGTCGGTCTGTGGACTGAAAGGTCCCAGGTTCAATTCCGGTCAAGGGTATGTATCTTGGTTGTGGGCACATTCCCAATTGGGAGTGTGCAGGAGGCAGCTGATGATGTTTCTCTCCCATCGATTTCCTCTCTGTAAAAAAATCAATAATAATAAAAAATAAAAAAAAATAAAAAAAAAAAATATATATATATATATTTAAAAATTACATGTTTGACTTCCTCTCATTTAGTCTAGTAGCATCTTGAGGAGCTGCTTTATATTCCCAACAGAACACAGCATGGTGCTAAGGTGCTCAATATGTGTTTTGAATTGCATATGGAGATAGGGCTGCTCTCTATTCAGGCTTAATTTGAACAGTGAATATGTTTTCCTTTAAGATTTGATGCAAATTATTTTTCTTTAATATATCTTTATTGATTTTGGAAGGGAGCAATGGAAACATCAATGATGAAAGAGAATCATTGATCAGGTGCATCTTGCACCACCTGCACCACCACCACCATCACCACCACCATCACAACACCAGCACCACCACCACCACCCAATGTGAATGGAGCCCACAACCTAAGCATGTGCCTTGATTGGGAATTGAACCATGACCTACTCGCTCATAGCTCAGCAACCCCTGAGCCACACCAACTGGGCAAGATTTGATACAAATTTGAGGACTTATGTAAGATATAAAGTCAGAAGGAGAAGCCAATTTAAATATGTGTCATAAGTTGATTAGGAAACCAGAAAAAAATTTTAGCTATGACTTTCCTTTATAGACTATCAGCAAAATAATTTGAATTTTTGATTAAGCTAATCTTTCACCATTATCATCCTGTGGTAACTTTCTGCAAAGCTATTGTCTAGCAAAATTCCTTATTTGGTAAGGTAGTCTTCATCTCTGGCAATCAACTAGATCTTACTAATAATCCTGTTAGGTTGACTCATTTACCAATCCCTATTTTATTTTTGCTGCTACCATATTATAATTGTTAAGGGAGTGGGGAAGAACCACCTGAGAGCTCTGAATAGTGGGGTGGGGTGGTCCTATCTAATGTCACACATGTTAGAGTTAAAATTTGAAATAATACCTCAACAAGTCCCTATATCTGCTTTCTTTTCTACTATACCATGTCTTATTTGCTCATAACATCAGGATTGTATGATAAATTGCTAACCCCAATTTCCATTTAAATTCACAGAATAAAATGGTCTTCAATCTTTTGCCTATAAACTAATTGCCAAACAAGAACAGGAAAAAGTGGCACTCCACAGCATATATTCAAGAAGCTCACATGTCTAGAAAAAAGTAAGTTATGTATCTTGTGGGTCCTACCAAATTTACTAAGTGCCAACTGTGTGCACAGAACAGGCTAGATACCATTGTTAATACAACTGATAGAACATGTCCTTTCCCTCAGTAAGTTCATAACAAACAAAAACAAAAAAAAACAAAACAAATAAAAAACCCACAAAAGGCATACTGAGCAAGGCAGAAAGATATAGTGCTATGAAACTATGGGGAAGAAAAAGACAAGATAATTCTGACCCGTTTGGGGGACGTTCAGGAGGCAACCAATCAATGCCTCTCTTTCATGCTGATGTCTCTCTCTCTACCCCCTCCCCCCACCATCTCTGAAAATCAATGGAAAAAATATCCTCAGGTGAGGATTAACCAAAAAATAAATAAATAAATTTTGAGAGGCATTTTCTAGGTTGGATTGGGGGAAAAGTGCAGAACAGGAGACAGAGATAATGTTCAACAGACAACCACAATAAGAAGGCAATGCAGTGGGAATGGAAAGGGGAGTAGAGGCAACACACTTTGCAGGTGGGATCTGTAAAAGTTAACTAATGAGACATGGCAGAGAGACTTGCAAATTTATAAAAACTCTTTACTGTCTCTACAAAATTAAAGTCCTCCAAAGACAGCATTTAAATTTAACATATTTATTTAGTAGAAGAGGTTGAGGTAGAGAGGAAGAACTAAATCTGCTCAGAGTCTAAAATGTTAAAGAAACTTTAAATACTTTTTGTTCCCTTGGTTCTCTCCTTTTACAATAAAGATGAAGGCACTGAGACTGTGAACTTTAGGATCTGTTCAAGAAAAACGATAGTGCCTGGCCAGCGTGGCTCAGTGGTTGAGCATTAACCTATGGACCAGAAGGCTATGATTCGATTCCGGTCAGGGCACATGCCTGGGTTGTGAACTCAGTCCAAAGTGTGGGGCATGCAGGAAGTAGATGATCAATGACTCCCTCATCATTGGTGTTTCTGTCTCTCTCTTCCTCTCCCTTCCTCTCTGAAATAAATAAATAAATAAATAAATAAATAAATAAATAAATAAATAAATAAATTAAAAAAAAATATATATATATATATATATATATATATATATATATATATCTTTAAAAAGGTATTAAGTGGTATGGACATCACTAGAGCCTATACATATATTAATCCCAAATTCCATCAAACTAGTTTGAAAGCCTAAGCTAATCTTTCACCATTATCATCCTGTGGTAACTTTCTTCAATTCCAAGAGGAATGGGCAAATGAAATATCCATTTTTCCTTATATCAATTCAGTAAGTTTTTAATTTTTTATACTACAAATACTATAGCACAGGTCTGTGTTACTAAAAAAAAAAAAAATAATTTTTTTATATCCTCTCCTGAGGATATTTTCCCACTGATTTTTAGAGAGAGAGAGGGAGAGGGAGATACAGAGAGAAACACCGATATGAGAGAGACATATCAATTAGTTGCCTCCTGCATGCACCAACCAGGCCAGGGGAACCTGCAGCCAAGGTATGTGCCCTTGACCGGAATCGAATCCAGGGCCCTTCAGTCCTCAAGGCAACAATAAAATTAACATATGCATCAGCGACCTTCATTTTCTTGAGAAACTGTTACCTCAGTCCACAAGCGTAGGCTGCCAGCAGCCATGTTTGTATACCTGCCACTTCAGGGCCACAGTTGATTGAGCCAGAGACGGACATGTGAACCAAACAGAAGTTTGGAAATGAGACTAATCTGGGCTGTTCTCTTGAATGATTGAGGAAGTGTGGCATGACTATTTCCATCAGGTGACCTGAGTAACAGGATAACAGGTCTGCAGAGTGAAATAGATACAAGAAGCAAAGAAAAGTAGAAGAAAAATACTCTCTGGATCCTGAAAGGTTTCCATTTCTCAGTTTCAGTCCATTCATAAGATTCAGTTGCCTGCCTACCCTCAGATTCTGGGACACAATCCTGATCCCCCACTGTTTTTTCTTTTTTCTTACACTTGTTCCAATACAGTCTATTTATCTGTACCCAAAGACTTGTCCAGGTACTATTCTAGAGCTAGAAAAAAAAATAATAACACGATTTCTACGAAGTCTGCTTAGCAAATATTAAGAGCTCAATAAGTATTAAGATAAAAACAATAATAGTTGCTATGAGTCTCTAAAGACCAATTTGGTGTGGTCATAAGATCGTAACGATCAGTCATATCTGCATTCAAATCTCAGTTCTGCCACTTATTAGAAATGTGACTTCAGGCAACTTAATATTTCTACAACTTTCATTTATATCTCTCTGTCCAACTTCTGCTTCTACTATTCTTAACCTTTTCACAAATCTGAGCCCCACAGGCTTTGTGCCCCATGACCTTTGCTCTCTGATATTTCTTTTAAAAATATATATTT